AAAGAAAGAAAGAAAGAAAGAAAGAAAGAAAGAAAGAAAGAAAGAAAAAAGAAAAAAACTGTATCTTTAGTTCTAAATTTTCTTCATGGGCTTATGCTAGATTATTACAAATGTTGTTATTAATATCATTTCTCTGAGCTGGAATAGCTGCTGTACTGTAATCTTTCTGTAACTAGAACATTGGAAAGACACTTAACGACTTTCTTAGATTTATTTTGAGATGATTATTATGTATTCTAGTCAGGCCTTAAACTAGTTGAGGATGATCTGCCGCTACTTTCCAAATGCTAGGATAACTGGTAAATACCACCACGCCCAGATTATATATCAAGCCCAGGGCATCCTGCATGCTAGGCAGCAATCCCAACTGAAACAAATTCCTAATGCAGCTTTTTGTGATTCTGAGATAAGAAAATCACCTTGTCTATTTCAAAAGTTTTAAAAGCGTGATTAATAAAATTACATAACCGAATACTCTGAAAAATACAAAAATGCACTTTAAAAACAAAGAAGTATATTTAGATAATTCTTGAACTTTACAGTTGTCTTACCTCTTACAGAGGAGCACTGCTGCTGTGGTTTTCCCTGTAGAATCTGCTGTCGAACATGTTGATCAACTTCTGTTTCTTCACATTCAGCCACAGTCTGTATACCAGGAGCAGGTGGTAAAGTTGTAGTCTGTTGCTGAGGAAATACATTCCCCACATACCTGCACTGGGAATCCCTGCATTCCTCCAAGCATCCAGCAGGCTTCTTTTCCCTTATTTTTTTAATCAGTGTCACGCGGTCCCTAATGGACTTAGCAACAGCTTTAGAATCACTTTCATGGAAGAATCCAGACTTGACCTACAAAAAAATAACAAACTGTTTCTTTACTTAAATCAATGTTTTGTATAACAAACTAAAAGTTCTATTAAATAACTAATAATTAACAGCTTGTCTCTATATTTTTCTAAATTGGACATGTGTACATGTGAGAGACTTTAATTGAAACGAGAATAACACTTCAAATGGTACTCAACTTCATATGGAAAAGCAAAAGACCCAGGATAGCCAAAACAATCTTGTACAATAAAAGAACTTCTGAAGGTATCACAATCCCTGACTTCAAACTCTACTACAGAGCTACAGTACTGAAAACAGCCTGGTATTCGCACAAGAACAGACAGCAGGACCAATGGAACTGAATAGAAGACCCAGATATTAATCCACACATTTTCAAACACCTGATTTTTGACAAAGAAGCAAAAAATATCAAATGGAAAAAAGAAAGCATATTTAACAAGTGGTGTTGGCATAACTGGATAACAACATGTAGAAGAATGATAACAGACCCATATCTCTCACCAGGTACAAAACTCAACTCCAAATGGATCAAAGACAGCAACATAAAGCCAGCCACACTGAACCTTATAGAAGAGAGAGTGGGAAGTACACTTGAACACATTGGCACAGGAGACCACTTCCTAAATATAACCCCAGCTGCACAGACACTGAGAGAAACAATCCATAAATGGGACCTCCTGAAATTGAAAAGCTTCTGTAAAGCAAAGTTCACAGTCAAAAGACAAAATGACAGCCTACAGAATGGGAAAAGATCTTCACTAACCCCACATCAGGCAGAGGTCTGATCTCCAAAATATACAAAGAACTCAAGAAATTGGACACCAAAAGATCACATAATCCAATTTAAAAAAATGGAGTACAGGCCTAAACAGAGAACTCTCAACAGAGGAATCTAAAATGGCTGAAAGACACTTAAGGAAATGTTCAACATCCTTAGTCATCAGAGAAATGAAAATCAAAACAACTCTGAGATTCCATCTTACACCTGTAAGAATGGCCAAGATCAAAAAAATTGATGACAACTTATGCTGGAGAGGTTGTGGGGAAAAGGGAACACTTCTGCATTGCTGGTGGGAGTGCAAACTGATACAGCCCCTTTGGATGTCAGTATGGCGATTTCTTAGAGAATTAGGAAACAACCTTCCTCAAGACCCTATAAATACCACATTTGGGTATATATCCAAAGGATGCTCAATCGTGTCACAAGGATATGTGCTCAACTATGTTCATAGCAGCTCTGTTTGTTGTTGCAGGGAGAGTGGGTCCTTCGTTTGTACTGGCCGCCTGGCTAGCTTACACCCAAAATAATCACACAGAAACTGTATTCATTTAAACACTGCCTGGCCCATTAGCTCTAACTTCCCATTGGCTAATTCTTACATCTTAATTTAACCCATTTTTGTTAATGTGTGTATCACCACATGCATGTAGCTTACCGGGAAAGATTCAGCATATCTGACTCTGGTGACTCCATGGCGGCTCTCTGACTCTGCTTTCTTCCTCCCAGAATTTAGTTTTGTCTTCTCCGTCTATCTAAGTTCTGCCCTATCAAAGGCCAAGGCAGTTTCTTTATTCAACCAATGAAAGCAACACATAGACAGAAGGATCTCCTACACCAATTTGTCATAGCCAGAGCCTGGAAACAACCTAAATGCCCCTCAACCAAAGAATGGATAAGGAAAATGTGGTACATTTACACAATGGAGTACTACACAGCAGAAAAAAATGACAGCTTGAATTTTTTTTAAAAAAATAAATCTTTATTTATCTATTTATATGTACACCGTGCTCTGTCTGCATGTATGCTTAGATGCCGGAAGAGGGCACCAGATCTCATCATAGATAGTTGTGAGCCACCATGCGGTTGCTGGGAATTGAACTCAGGACCCCTGGAAGAACAGTCAGTGCTCTTAACCTCTGAGCCATCTCTCCATCCCGACAGCTTGAATTTTGCAGGAAAATGGATGGAGCTAGAAAACATTATTTTGAGTGAGGTAGCTTAGACACAGAAAGACAATTATCACATGTACTCCTCATAGGTGGTTTTTAAACATAAAGCAAAGAAAACCAGCCCACAGATCACAATCCCAGAGAACTTAGATAATAATGAAGACACTAAGAGAGACTTAAATAGATCTAATCTACATGGGAAGTAGAAAGTAGAAAAAGACAAGATCTCCTGAGTAAATTGGGAGCATGGGGACCTTGGGGAAGGATTGAAGGGGGAAGGGGAGAGGCAGGGAGAGGAGCAGAGAAAAATGTAGAGCTCAATAAAAATAAAGAAAATTATTATGGAAAAAAAAGAATAACACTTCAGGGACTAAGGCAAAGGATCTTGTGATACCAGTTACAAAGTCTATCTCAAAATTCAGTAAAAGTATGCCGAGTATTGACTACAGAGAAAAATAGCTAACTAAAAGGGTCTTTTGCCTATATGAGCACATTACCTGATGATATAAGATAGAAATAAGCTTAACATAAAATGAAGCAGAAATGAACTGCTGGAATAAAAACTTAAAAATATCACTCTTGAGGAAACCTAAAAGTGCCATAATTTTGAACATTCCCAAAATAGGAATATAGTCTACTGAAAAAGCACAGATGAAATTTGGAGCAGAGATTAACATTCTAAGCATAGGAAGGTATGCTCACAGCAGAGAACTTACAACATTTTACTATGCATTAGAGTAGTATGAGAATAGGAAAGGGTTCTATTTTGGCGCTAAGCAGCAGAGAACATGATTTGAAGTACCAAGGTATACCATGTTTAGTCCTACAGTCTGATTGCTTACTTGCTTTTTTATATTTATTTTTGAGACAGTGCCGTGCGTAACACAGGTTGGCCCATATATAGTAGCACAAAGTAACCTTGAACTCCTTGATCTCCTGCTTCTACCCTCTAAGTGCTAGGATTATAAGCATATACCACCAAGACCAGCCTACAATCTACTATTAAAACCTTGTCTTAAAGTCTGCAGATTTGAAAATTCATGGTAGTTGAAAGATTATTAAAATGTTAATAGGAATGGTAATCGCAGCATTTGGAAGGGGAGGCAGGAAGCTTGTCACAGGTTTGAGGGTCAGCCTGGGCTATATTGTGATTACCAGGTCAGTCAAAGCTACAAGCACAATCCTTTCTAAAATCAAACTAAAACAATGACAAAAAAAACCCAGATGAAGTACACATATCCAATTTTGCCCATCCTAAAACTCCCAATAAACCTAACTCATAGTAAATGAAATTTAAAGTAACATAACAATAAAAACAAGGCTAGACATGGTAACACACACCTGAAATTCTGGCTCCAGGAGGCAAAGGAAGGAGGATCTGGACTTCAAGGTCATCATCAGCTACACAATGAATTCTAGGCCAGCTTGGGATACAGGAGACCCAGCCTCCACAAAAAAAAAGGCAAATGGGTGGATCCAAAAAATAAGAATACTTGAGAACCAACCCAAGAGGCCGAACATCTAAATAAAATAAGTTCTAGAAATAAGAAAGAGCAAATCACCTGGTCCTCCTAAGGGCTAAAGATTTATTTTGTAGATATATATGTGCACATGAAGGTCAGAGGTCAACAGCAGAATTCTTCCTCTATTGCTCTTCATTTTGTGCAACAGGTTCTCTGAGTGGACTCCAAGGATCTCACTGTCTTCATCCACCCAGAGCTAAGGTTACAGAGATATACCACACCACCTTACACAGGTGCTGGGGATGCAACCTCAGGTCCTCATGTTTGTACAACAAGTACTTTATCAACTGAACTATTTCCTCAGCCTCCAATTTTATTTTAACAAAGATAGCATTGTACAGTTCTTTATAGTGAACATGCAAATCAAACATGTTCTGTTAGTAAAATTACTTCACAATGACATGACCATATAAATAAGGAAAACAGGAGTCTAGGAGATTCCTTGGTCAGTGAAGTATTTGACATGCAAGCATGGGCAACAGAGTTTGAAAGCCCAGCACCTGTGCAAAGCATAATAGCACACACCTGAGCAGGGTGGTGGTGGCACACACCTTTTGTGGGATATATGTACACTGTGTGAAGGTGTATTGCTATGACTGGTGTAACAAAAAGTTGAACGGCCAACAGCTAGGTAGGAGGTATAGGTGGGACAATTACAGAAAGAGGACTCTGGGAAGAAGAAAAGTGGGGTCACCAGCCAGACACAGAGATGAGGCTGAAGGTACAAGACAGAAGAGAGGAAAATGCCATGTGGCAGAACATAGATTTAAAAATATGGGTTAATATAAGCTATGAGCTAGTTGAGACAAGCCTAAGCTAAAGGCCAAACCTTCATAATTAATCATAAATCTCTGGGTCATTATTGGCAGCCTGGAAGTCCCAACGAAAAAGTATTGCTGCACACACCTTTAATCCCAGAGGTAGAGGCAGGCAGATCTCTGTGATTTGAAGGCAAGCCTGGTCTACAGAGTGACTTCTAGAATGGCCAGGGCAAAACAGTGAAAACACATCTTGAAAAACCAAACAAACAAACAAACAACAACAACAACAACAACAACAAAAGAACACACCTATAATCCCTGCACTGGGAAGGTAAAAAAATGCATGCCTCTGCAGGCAGACCTATACAAACGTACTGCAAGAGAAAAAGTACACAGAAGAAAGAAAAGAAAACAATTAGAAGTAGAAAACAAGCATTAATCAATCAGGATACTGTTATGTGTAGGGAAAGCATCACTAAGATTTACTTACCATTTCATATGCTACTTCCTCAGGTGTATCTGTTTCTAAATTGAAACTGAATTCAATAGCTTCATTGTCTTTATGTTTGCCTTTTAATTTTTTAGGATCTTCAACCCAGAGTCTTAGGGCCAGGGATGAATTTGAACAATCATCTTCTTCTGCTAACTCCACTCTCAGTCCAGTATCCTCAGCAAAGAATGCATGATTTAGTAGGTCCTTGACAGATAACCTAATAAACAAAATATACATCTCATTATCAATTCTTTCAGTCATAAGCAAAATATGGTCCTTTAAATAGTAAAAGTTAATTGCATCCAAATGAGACTCTTATTTATTTACATTTTCTATTAAACCATTTATTATTTGTTTTGCTATAAAAACTACATCTTATAATCAATTTATTACTAGGGACACAAGAAATGTCAACTTGCATGCACACAGAATGATCTTAATTAAGAATTAATAACCAATAACATCTTAATTGATATCAAAGTCTAACTCACATAAAAGTATGACCAAGAGAGAATTGTTACATAGATTTACTAGCTTGCCTAAAGCCACTGGACTGAACTACTCAGACTAAAGCAACAGATTTTCAACAAAGGAAAGAACATTTCCCAAATATAGTAAATATAAGATGAACTGGACATTCAAATTCTTACAAATAAGACTACTTCAATAACAATTATCTACTCAGAAGTTGTATGTAATGGCCCACTCCTATACCACAGTATTTGCCAGCCTGTGTTATATAGTGAGTTCCAGGGCAGCTTGGGATACAGAATGAGACTCTGTTTCAAAAAAAAAATTTTTTTAAAAAAAGGACAACTATTTAATTAATATGTACTTCATTTTTTTAGAAGAATGTCATAGGTGAAGCCAATGTGGTTCGATTTGTTTTTAATTTGAGACAGTGTCTTGCTGAGTGGCTTTGCCTGACTTGAAACTTGCTATTTAGATCAGGCTGGCCATGAACACACACAGAAATCAGCCTGTCTCGGCATCTCAAGTGCTAGGATTAAAGGGGTGTGCTACCATGTCCTTTTTCCCCTTTCCATACATACATACACCATATACATACATATATATGTACACACACAGAGTCTCAAACTAGCCACCAAATCTTAATTCCTCTGTCATGGCCTCCTGTGTGCTAGGATTACAAGCATGCAAAAGCATACTCAGCTCCAATGGTTTTCTTGAAGTTCTGAACTCTGATTTTAGGCTGGCTATACTATATACATAAAGGATATAACCCTAGCTTAATATTGGAGACTGACCATCTCTAAAGAGAAACAAGAGGATATGGCTTCAAAGGATTCTTTTTTCCCCAAAGGATTCTTTTGTAAGCCTGAGCAAATAATTTTTTCTTCTCAAACTTATATATGCACATTAAAATTAATCTGTCTATATCTATTATGTCTAAGTAGAGAACCACCACTGTAAAAGACATATGGATAATGTGGTGCTTTGAATAGCAATGGCCCTCATTGATTAATGTGTTTGAATGCTTGGTCATACAGAATGACACTATTAGGAGGTGTGGCCTTGCTGGAGTAGGTATGGCCTTGTTGGAGGAAGTGTGTCACTGGTGGTGGGCTTTGAGGTCTAAAATGCTCAACCCAAGCCTACTGTGACTGCCTCTTTCTTTTGCCTGAAAATCTCAGCTACCTCTCCAGGACCATGTCTGCCTCCACACCACCATGTTTCCCACCATGATGATAATGGACTAAATCTCTCAACTGTAAATCAGCCCCAATTAAATGTTTCTTTTATAAGAGTTGTCATGGTCATGGTGTGTCTTCACAGCAATAGAACACTAAGACAGGTGACAAAAGGAAAACTCCAACCTAAACAGGTGAACTACATCCAAGAAAACACAGGAAATGAATAATCCCAGATCACACATACACAAGCCCCAAACCAACCAGGAATTAACAAACACTGCTCATTGATATTTCTCAACACTAAGGGTCTCAATTCTCCAATAAAAAAGTCTCAGACTTCCAGAATGGATGGGAAAACAGGATCCATCCTTCTGCTACTGCATCCAAGAAACACACATCAACATCAAGGACAGATATTACCGCAGGGTAAAAGTTTGGAAAAATATACTCCAAGCAATTGTACCTAAAAAGCAAGCTGGTGTAGCAATTTTCATACCTGATAAAGCAGACTTCAAACCAAAACTAATCAGAAGAGATAGGGAAGGATACTATATACTCAAAGAAAAAAATCCATCAAGAGGACATTGCAATTTTTAACATTTATGAACCCAATACAAGGGTACACACTACTACAGCTTAAATCACACATTGACCCTTACACAGTGATAGCGGGGTACTTCAATACCCTACTCTCACCAATGAACAGGTCATCCAGACAAAAAATAAGCAGAGAAATGCTGGAGCTAACTGTTGTTATAAACCAAATAGAACTAACAGACATCTGTAGAACATTCCATCCAAACGCAAAAGAATATACCTTTTCAGGGCCTCATGGAACATTTTTCAAAAGTGACAATATACTTGAACACGCAAGTCTCAACAGATACAAGAAAATTAAAATAATACTTTGCAACCTATAGGACCATGAATTAAAGCTGGATATCAGCAACAGAAACAACAGAAAGCTAATACTTGGGAGGCAGAATAGAAGATTTAGGTAAAATAAGAAAAGAATATGAATAATTAAAAAGAAAACACACAGGAAAGGAACATGTGGAAAATGTGGGGCACTATGAGAATACCAAACCTTTGAATTATAAGCATAGACAACAGCAAAGCACCCCCAAGTGAATGTCATAGACCAGATTTCCAACAAGATCATAGAAAAGTTCCCCAAATGAAGGAAAGACATACCTACTCAGACATAATGAGAACACAGAACACCAAACAAACAAAACCAAAAAGAAAATCCCCACAGTATATCACAGGTAAAACACTAATTTTACATAACAAAAAAAAGTATACTTAAAACTGCACTAGACAACTGAAAGTCACATATTATGGAAACCGATCAGAATGACAATTCTCAATGGAACCTCTGAAAGCGAGAAGAGCCTAAAATAATGCACTCCAACTCCTAAAAATCCATCATTGGTCTGTTTTTTTTTTAAAAAAAATATGGAATGCTTCACAAATTTGCGTGTCATCCTTGCACAGAGGCCATGCTAATCTTGTCTATATCGTTTCAATTTTAGTATATGTGTTGCCGAAGCGAGCACCATCATTGGTCTTTATATCCAGCAAAACTCTCTGCCATAGTTGAAATGGGAAATAAAAACTGTCTAAAAACATTTACAATCAACAAACCAAACAACAGAAAGCATTATTTCCATCTAAAAAGAGCATAGCCAGGAGACTGTACAAAGAAATACAAAGCCATAATTACTAAAACACAAAGTACCACTGAGAATACAAATAATAACATCAAAAACAATACAATGACCAGAAGCTTGCATAGCACTTATCCTTATACCTACAGATAAGTGTAGTTTTTACATCTCATCAAGGAAACTTACTTTGCAATAGATGGATAACACTACAGAAAACACAATCAAAATGCAGAATTGTGGAGCCCAGTCCCAACTGATACATATATAAAACAACATTCGCACCTAAAGCTCAAGAATCATTACAAGCCAGGTGGTGGTGGCGCAAACCTTTAATCCCAGCACTCTAGAGGCAGAGGCAGGCGGATCTCTGTGGGTTCGAGGCCAGCCTGGTCTACAAGAGCTAGTACCAGGACAGGCTCCAAAGCTACACAGGGAAACCCTGTCTCGAAAAACCAAGAAAATAAAAAGTAAAGAAAAGAAAAAGAGAAATGGTTCAGTAGTAATGGACATTTGCTGCTCTTCTAGAGTACCCAGGTCTGGTTTCTAGTATCCACATTGAATAGCTCACAATTGCACATGACTCCAGACACAGGGAATCTGACAACTTTCTGGCCTCTGCACACACTTGCATGCACATGGTGCATATGTATATACACCCAGACACACAAACACAAACAGATAAAATAATTTTTTTAAAAAAATCAAAAGATGAAGCTACCAATTTAAGCCAGTAATTATACAAAGCTCAAAATAAAAGGAAGTGAAAGCCAATACTAAATCAGTTCTCTATACAAAAATACAAATTTTGATACAAATAGATATAGAATATTTCTTGAACAAAAATATCCATTACTCTTACTATTATTATTGGCACAACGATATAAAACCAAATGTAATCTATCTGCTTACTCTCAACTACTTAAACAAGCAATTTGTTACATGTTTTACATCACCTCACTATTAGGCTGTCATAACAAATACAAATGTCAGTTCAAATTCAGCACATAATAGCAACATCTAACGTGTCAAATGGCATGCTATGATATGCATATATTATAGTATCCATAATAAAAATGCATCCATCATTTATGTAATTTTGTATAATTCCACCCACCTTTCAGATTTGTTTTGTCGGATACATCCTTCAATTATTTCTTTTACTTCGGGGTCTGTGACTTTATTGAAGCTGGCTGGTTTTATGCCCTGGGAGAAGAAAATGGTTTCTTGTCACAAATTAAACAATTAAAAGCACAAATCAATATGGTAAATATTAAACTTTATTTTCTCATAAAAATCCAATTATTCAATGAGATTATTACGCACATATATTTAATTTCAAAAGTTTTATACAGGATTTCACTACATATAGCACTGACTACTTTAGAACTCTCAGTTTTTCAACCTGTGTGTCATGACCCCTAGAGGCTTTGAATACCCATTCCAAGGAGTTGCATATTAGATATTTACACTACAATTCATAACAGTAGCAAAATTACAGTTATGAACTAGCAACAAAATGATTGAGGGTCACCACAACATGAGGAACTGTATTAAAGAATTGAAGGATTAGAAAGGTTGAGAGCCACTGTCCTATGTAGACCAGGCTGGCTACAAACTCAGAAATTTGCCTGCCTCTGCCTCCCAAGTGCTGAGAATATAGGCTTGTGCCACCATACCCAGACAAATTTAACTTTTTAAAATTACATCTTATTTACTGGTGGGGGAGGGAGGATCTAGCATGCATGTGGAAGTCAGAGAATAACTTGCAGGAGTAGATAATCGCCTTCCACCATGCATTTTGCAGGAATTGAACACAGGTTGTGAGGCTTAATAGAAAGTGCCTTTACCAGCTGCATCATCTCACCAGCCCAAGTTTAACTTTTTAAAAAGGATTTCATCACAGCTCCATAAATAACTGAAAATTGTGAATAATCTACACTAATAACTGAGGTAAACTTAATATTACATACGCAAACATATAGAGACTATAAATACTACTGTACTTAATAGTATTGGGAATGCTCACAATTTAATATAAAATAATAGGGGAAAAAGCAGGATGCCCCCCCACATACATACCTATACATATATATATAATTATAATTAGGAAAACATAATAGGGACTAGAGAGAAGGTTCTGTGGTTAAGAGCAATTCCTGCTCCTTTAGAGGACCCAAGTTCCAATCCCAGAACCCATACTGAGGGGATAATTCCAGCTCCAGGGTATCTGATATCAACTTCTGGCCTCCAAGGGTATTCATAAACATGTATGCAAGTACACATTCACAAACACATACATAATTTTAAAAAATAAAATTCAATAATGGACTTGCAAGATGCCGCAGCAGGTTAAAGGTGCTTTCCACCACACCTGATGATCTGACTTCAATCTCTGGAAACCACAGAAAGGTAGAAGGAAGAGAACTGACTCCCACATGTTGGCAACTAGTCCCCACAATCAACATGTGGCACATATGAACGCGCACACACGCGCCAAATAAAATGTAAGTGGGAGGGAAGCAGTGAAAAGGCTTGAACTAAGTTCCAGCCTCCATCCCACAGCATGTCAGGAGAGAACTGACTTTAAAGAGTTATCTTTTAGACTGCATACTTAAGAATACGACTGTGAGAACTTGTGCGTGTGTGCACGCACATGCGCTCACACACACAAATAATTAATGAAATACATTTTAGAAATTCAAATGGAAAAAAGGTTTTAAAAAATCAAATATAGTAACTATTTTTGATTCAGAGAAAAAGTAGCAGTTTGTCTGCTTGCTTCCTTTGAGGCAGAATTTCGTTTATATGTCAAGTTTCAAGATCCTGTTTCAAATTGCCAAATACCAGGGACCACAGACATGTAGTACCAGGCCGGGCAAAATGAATATGGTTTTAAAAACCTTTGAAGCCCAGCATAATAGCCTATGTCTGCAATTATACTACCAGAGATGAAGGCTGAGGGATCAGAAGTTCAAGGTCACCTTTAGCTACTTACCCAATCACAGAAAACATAACTTAAAAATAAAGGCTTCTCTATTTCTAGTATACTGAATTTAATATAGTTCAAAGTCTTCTAAAATGGAGAGAAGTCAAAAACAAACAGTATGTTTGTGTGTACACAGATACAAATGTATAAGATAAGGTCTGGATATATAAAGGAGAAAAGTCAAAATAACTATTCTAAAGAGAAAAAGCAACAAGGAACTTCAGAAATTCACAAAAGTGATAACAAAATACTTGAAAGGTGGAGAGGGAAAGTTGGGAAACACACAGAAAAGAAGTCAAATTCATCACAATTCCAGGAGTGCTTCTCTCTGGAAGGGAGAAGAAGCTGAGGACGCCTCCAAAAGGTAAGCCAGGAGGCCCTGAAGGAAAGACACTGGCAGTCCTACTCTTAGAGTAAGTCCACAGCACTGTCAAGTCTCAAAACCAGTTGAGGGAAGACAGTGGGTGAGAAAATGGTAAAGATTCCCATTCCTGTCACTCTGTCTTGGAGAGCAAGGGTTGGCATTATCTTGCAGGGGAAAACAGTTACCAGAAACTGAGCTGAACTGAGGACTCCAAAATGAAGAAAACCTGAAGACAAAACGCCTCAATTTAACTTACCACAGCCACAGGGCAAGAGACAGTCCTGGAAAACTGGAAGGTCATGACCAACAAGCCAAAGAACCAATAAGCCACTTCTGCAGGTGGCAGAAGGCTTGGCTAAGAGAAATGCATAAGGGAAAGTAACCCTGCTCTCAGTTGAAGTGGCTGACCTCATCAACTGAGAATAACACTAGAGTTTGATAGCCCTGAGCCTTAGGTCAGAAGGCAGATCAACCTCTGCATCCATCTATCTGCTATTCTCTTCTATAGAGCTAAACACCTCAGAGCCTTCAGTGGAGTACTTGAAATCCATTGCCTCATCCATCCAAAAGGATGATTACTATTTAAAAGATTTGGAAAGTATGAAGACCTGTCTTCCAGCTGTCCAGATCTTGACAGCTAGACATTAGAAACAGAATATATAAAATACATGAACTGCAAAAGGTAAATACTATAAAAAAACCTCTTTAAATCAATAGATTGATTAATGATCTGCATAGAGAATTCCCAAAAGTGGAAAGACAGTGGCTGAAGAGATGGCTCTGTTGTTAAGAGCACTTGCTGCTCTCAAGAGGGCATGGGTTCAATTCCCATCATCCATATGTGGCTTACAGTCATCTGTAACACCAGCTCCACGGGAGCTGATGCTCTCATCTGACCTCTGCAGATACCTGGTATGTATAGAGTACACATACAGTACAGACAGGCAAAACACTCAGACATATAAAATAAGTCTCAAAAAATTAAAGTGGTCAATAAATATTTGAAATAAAAATGTTCAGCATTTTCACTGCTCAGGGAAATACAAATTAAAACTGCTTCAAGATTCCATCTTACCTTAGTCAGAATGGCTATCAAGAAAACATGAAAGGGGTTAGAGAGATGAGTCAGAAGTTAAGAGTTTATACTACACACACACACACACACACACACACACACACGACAGGGTTTCTCTGTGTAGTCCTGGCTGTCCTAGAATTCACTCTGTAGACCAAGCTGGCCTCATTTAGAGATTCACCTGCCTCTGCCTCCTGAGTACTGGGATTAAAGGTGTGAGCCACCACCACCTGGCTAAGAGTGTATATTCTTACAGAGGAGTCAAGTTAAGTTCCCAGCACTGACATTGGGTATGGCTCACAATTACTTATAACTCTAGATCCAAAGGACACAATTCCTTCTTCTGACTTTCACAAGAACCTGCACTTTTGTGTCTATAACCACACACAGACATACAAGAATAATAAAAAAATAATAAAAATATGAGTTGGAGAGATAACTCAGCAGATAAGAGCATTTGCTGCTATTTCAGAAGACTCAAGTTTGGTTCTCAGCACCAAGACTCTACATCAACATACCACAGATGGAACTGTACATCTGTGGTTACTGCCACACTATTCACAATAACCACAGTACCCAAATGTCAGTCTATATGTCTACCAACAGATGAATGGAAAAAAAAATGTGGTACATATACATAATGGAATTTTGTGCAGTTCTAAAATAAAATGATAATGACATGTTCAAGAGAACAGCTATAATTGGAAACCACCATGTTAAAATAAGACAGACTTGGTAAGACAAATACCACATGCTCATATGCGGAACCTAGACTTACAATTACATATGCGTACATATGTATTTACATGTTTATATTTATAGGTAACAAAATTAGAAAGAGGATCATGAGAGAAGAGTAAAAGATCTTAAGAGAAATGAAGAAAGTAACAAACATGCGCAATAGAAAGCTGTGGTGCATGCCTCTAATCTCAGCACTCAGGAGACAGAGGCAGGGAGATTTCTGTGAGTTCAAGGCTAGTCTGAACTCCAGGATAGCCAGGGATACACAGTAAGATGAGACCCTGTCTCAAAATAAATACATATAATAGGAAAACAGAAAAGTAGGAACAAAGGAAACAGACTTAAGGGGGCAGACAGACATGGGAGGGGGCAGAGATAAGGGGAAAAATGAGAATAAATTTACTGATACATATGTATAAAGAAAAAGCTATGATGACATCCATTATATTATAACCTAAAAATATGAAACAATAACAACAAGAGAAAATTGGGGTCATCAACATTTCATCATGAACAGAGAAAAGGTTCATAATGCCAAACCCTTCTGTGAGAAACTACAGGCAGTTAATGGCTGCTGTATAATGCATAAGCAGGAATCATATTCCTCAGTGGTGTAGTCACTGGAAAGTTGCTCTTACTCAAGTAAATAACACCCCACTCATGTTCAGGCAAGGAACCCAAATTAAGTGCAGTAGGTACAGAATAAAAAGACAGGAAAGTGTGAGGGGATGCAGGAAGGGGTTTAGTCTGAGGTATAAGGACATAAGAGAGAATAATGAGATAAATAAGATCAAAGTACATTAATATATGTATAAAACTGTGAAAGAATATGTGTATGAAATTGTAAATGAACAAATAAAACTCATAGAATAGAAGAAATACAAATGGCTAATAAATACATGAACTAGAAAGTAAAAGGGGGAAGACGGGGGCAGAAAGTGACAGTGGGGAAAGTTGGAAATGGGGGGAGACTGGGACAGAAATCAATCAAAATGAAGCATGCATGAAAATGTCATAAACAAACTTATTCCTCTGAAAGCTAATTTAAAAATATAACAAAATAAAAACAAAGAATAAACAATATTTTCTAAACATTAACCATAGATTAAGGCAGCTCTCGACCCTAATCAGAGAAGCCTGTTTGCAGTAGATAATGATCAACAAAATGACCTACAACTGGCTCAGGTGCAAAGAATAAGATTATGAAATATTTAGCCCTAAATGGGGCCTCTATATCACAATTCTCCTGGGGCTCAAGGATCACTGAGAAAGAGGACATTGAAAGAGACAGAGGCAGTGGATAACTACAAGGAAACAGTGTCTTCTAGACACAGCAGGGCAGCTGCACATATAAATTCACAGTGGTTTTAACAGTACGCACAAGCCTAAGCCAGACCAGACCTCAGCATGGAGAGGGGAGTTAAGCAGAAAGATTCACCCCTAAATGAAAGGATACTGGAAATTCTTAGCAGCTCATAGACAATGGATCAGTTTTCTCTAAAAGTAAAGCCTCTGATAAGTTGGCCATGCTCCAGTAGAAGCATTCAAGAATATCTGAACAGCTGGGCGGTGGCGCACGCCTTTAATCCCAGTACTCAGGAGGCAGAGGCAGGCAGATCTCTGTGAGTTTGAGGCCAGCCTGTTTTACAAGAGCTAGTTCCAGGACAGGCTCCAAAGCCAAAGAGAAACCCTGTCTCGAAAAACCATAAAAAAGAAAGAAAGAAAGAAAGAAAGAAAGAAAGAAAGAAAGAAAGAAAAGAAAAGATAAGAAAAGCAAGAAAAAGAAATATATAAATAAAAAATATCTGAACAGCACAAATAGGCCTTATCAGGGAGGGAGACATGAATGAATGGACACTAAGTTGAATGGGAAAGTAAAGTACAGAAAACTGGATCTGAGAAGACCTGGAGTAGAGAGGGTGAATACAATCAAAATAACTGCATGATATTCTCAAAGAACTTACTAAAATTAAGCAAAACAAAAGAAATGAAAACTACGGCTGGCAAGTATGTGGAAAAGTAGAAACCATAGCTGCTGGTAGGAATGTAATGTATTGCATTCATTACGGAAATCAGTATTGGAGGCTCCTCAAAAAAAATGAAAATAAAACTGCCATATAACAGAGCTATAACACTCCAGGGTATATATCCAAAGGACTCTTTAGTCAACATACCACAGAGACATTTATATAACTGTGTTTATTGATATACAATCCACAACAGCTAAGAAATTAACCAGTCTAGATGTCTATTCACAAATAAACATATAATAAAAGTGTGGTACATACATACAACAGAATTTTATTTAGCTATAAAGAATAATGAAATCACAGCACTTGCAGGAAAATGGATGAAATTGGAAATCATGTTAAATAAGCCAGAATACATGTTCTCTACCATATGTGGAATAATGGCTGTGTGTGTGCATGTGTATGTGTTGTGTGTGCTTGTGTGTGAGAATGGGCAGAAAAAGAGTCATGAAAAGGGAGGGAGAGACTGGGGGAGATAATGAAATACATATGATACAAAAGCAGAGTGAGGATTATTAGTGGGAATAAAAAAACAGCAAGATGCAGACAGTGAAAACAGAAGAGAGTAGTGAGAGGATGAATAAGAATAAATTAAAATAATACATACATATAAAAAAATGTCAAAAAGTAACTATTACTTTATATGTACACTTTTAAAATAAAAATACATACAAATATAACAAAGTTATAAATATAACAAAGTTATAAAATACAACTTATAACTTTCCTGTAAGCATGTCATCTACCTGAATCTGCTCATTTTATACCTTTTGTTTATTAGTTTTAGGCTTTCAGAAAATTATCCAATTTTAGAAAATTATCGTTGTAGTCATTAAACAGAAAATTGCAAATTAATCTGGAAAAATTATTGCCATAAATTGAGACAACCTAAGATCTACTTCTATACCTATCATACTACCTTAAAGAATAAAGTCTCATATACTAGATAAATCTGGCAAGGTTGGGAATTAATTTGGATCCAAAATTCAAGAAGCTTTGAGAGAGGTAGAAATGTAAATTGTGATATGGCATTTTTGACTATTATATATAGTCACTATTATATATATTACATATATACAAAAATAATAGTCATTCAAAATTGCAGTTATGCTTAGGGTATGGATCAGTGGTAGAGTACTTGTGTAGTTTTCATTAGACCCTAAATTTCACCCCCAGAATCACAAAAAGACGTATTATGCACAGCACTTGGGAGGCTAAGATAGAAGGTTCATGAGTTCAAGGCCAGCCTCAGTGACACAGTGAAACCCTGATAATGTTATTCTATACATAGAAAACATCCTGTATAATCTCTCCTCTAACCTCTTCCTGATTTTCTTGGCAAATCATGCCTTTCTCTATATGTAAGTGAAGACAGTTATAGAATTATAATTTATAAATCAAGCACAAAATACTTTTGTACTTGGGATTCTTTAGATAAAGGACATACACTAATAAGGCATTGCAGTTCTTTTTCTGAGCTCTTATCAGAGGCTGAGAAGGAATTAGGAACTGTTGCTTAATGGGTAAAAGTTGCAATTAAACAGCAGGAAAAAGCTTTGAAATATAGTCCACAGCACAATGACTATAGTCAATAAAACACAGCATATCATAAAGTAACTTAAAACACATTTTAAATGTTTCACAATAAAAAATAATAAGGAAGTGAAGGCAGAGGTAAACTACCTTGATTTCACATTGTATATATCATCTTGTATCCCATAAATGTATACAATTGTCATGTCTATTTAAAATAACTTAATTTTAAAAGATTAAAAAATGACTTATTATTAACTTCCTGAAACATTAACAATCTCTTTCATGATCTATCTGAAGTCACTCAGCCATATGCGAAGCAGTCTACCCTAAACAATGAAAACACTCCAATTCTACTTTGTATCCCTTACTATACTCCTATCCTTTTATTTTATACTAATTTTTTTTTCTTATTTTCTGAATAGGGTTTCATTTTGTAGCCCAGGTTGGCCTCAAACTTACAACTATCTTTCCTTAGCCTCCCAAGTGCTAGGATTACAGGTGTGCACCGCCATGTCTTGCTAGCTATTTCTTAACTGATATTATTCTCCTCCTAGAAATGTAAGCTTTCCTAGGGCAGTTAACACTATTATCATTGTAGTTCTTGCAATTTCTAATACAAAACATTACTTATATAAGAGATCCACATGTTTCACTTGTCAAATTACATACTGAATTCTCTTTCCTAACTGGGCACTTAAAGTATTAAAGTCCTTCAAACTCTTTTAGTTTTATTATCCAGCTTTAAAAATTAAGACCAATCAAATCAGGTGTAGTGGAGCATGCCTTTAATCCCAACACCTCATAGGCAGAGGCAGAGCATCTCTTTGACATTGAAGCCAGCCTGATTAACGTAATGAGTTCCAGGACAGTCAGAGGCACATAGTGAGATGCTGTCTCAGAAAAAAAAGCAAACCCACAGAACCAAGACCAAAACTAATATCTAAAATTGTAGCATACCTGTACGTTTTCTCCAAAACAATATAGAGCATTTTATATGACCCTATCTCCAAAATAATATAGAGCATTTTATATGACCCTAATAGAATTCAAGTACATAAATAGAAATCTTTATAAACCTTTTCTAAGTGAATGGTTAAACTAACATTGTTATACAAAATTAAACCATAATGGAGAGGGGGCTTTTCCTCTTTTCTTCCACTAAGTCACACTCTTTGACCCATAATTAAATTCTACTAAGTCAATTTTATCAATTTTAACACAAAATGTGGCAATCTGTGAAGTAAAATGAATAAAAGTATACCTACACTGGTTACTTTACGGTATATTTGAGCTGCATTCTGGCACTCGGAATATGGATACTCCGAAGTAGCCATTTCCAACATACACATCCCAAAAGCATAAACATCTACAGATTCATCATAGTGTTCTTCATACATCTCTGGAGCCATAAACTCAGGAGTGCCTACAAAATAATACCATAATCATATTTTTATTAAAGAGATATATTAATCAAGATTTTCTTTCCCATAAAAAGTATCTATTACTTTCTGTTCTTTCAAAGTAAATCTATAAGTTAGGCTGGGTGCGGTGGTGCACACCTTTAGTCCTGGCATTTGGGAGACAGAGGTAGATGGATTTCTTTGAGTTTGAGGCCAGCCTGGTCTACAGAGTGTTCCAGGACAGTCAAGGCTATATAGAGAGACTCTATCTCAAAAAAAGCAAATTAAACATTTTTTACTGATGAAGTACAATTTAAAGTACAATTCAAGGTTAAGTTAAGATGTTAAAAAAAATCTAACTTTAGACAGGCATGGTGGCTGACACTTGTAATCCTAGTACTTGTATAGTAACAAGCAAGAAGGTCAGAATTTTAAGGTTTTTCTCAGCTACATAGTATTTTCAAGGCTATCTTTGTCTACAATAAAATCCTGTCCTAAGAAAAGAAAAGGCCAGGCACTATAATGCAAGCCTTTGATGCCTACACTCAGTAGACAGTGGCAGGAGGATCTCTGAATTTGAGGCCAGCCTACTATGCATAGCAAGTTCCAGGTCAGCCAGAACAACTATATAATAAAAAGATCCTATCTCCAAATAAAAAGATAACTAGATATAGATTAAATCTGATTTTATTTTGCATTTATGTCTTTTTAATTCAAATTTGGATAAATTAATTTAGTAATTTTTTTCTTAAGTCCTCAAAATCTTTCAATAATCTTTAATAGATGAGGCTGGAGAGATAGTTCAGCTGTTAAGAGAACTTGTTGCTCTTGCAAAGGACCTGGGGTTCAGTTCCTAGAACCCACATGGTGGTTAATAACTGTCTGGAACTCCAACTCTTAGGGCTCCAGCACCATCTTCAGACCTCTGTGGGCACTGCATATGCAGACATACATGTAGGTAAAACACCCATATATGTAAAATAAAGATAAATTTAAAAAATAGTCCTTAATGTATTCTATAAAATATACACACTAGGTATTGGAAGTAAGTCAGTTTTCATATAACTGGTATTTCAAATCACATTCACAAATATTTCAAGGCAAATTAATGGTTGAATGTGCTGTCTAGGTCCTAAAATCCCAAGACTACAATGTTCAAGGTCATCTATTGCGTAGTAAATTTGAGGCCTGCCCAGGTTGCAGAAGATCCTGTCTCAATTAAAAAAAAAAAAACAAAAAACGTGTGTGTGTAACAAAAACAAAACCTTAAAAAACAGGCAGTGTTCAAAATTTTGCCCCAAACTGTAGCTAACTCATCATCTCTATTCCAGTCCTATACAACTGACAAATTTAACACCCAGCAGTAAACTGTAAAATACTAGTCACCAATGACACTCTTAGCAAATGATGTGCGCATTAAGGTTGCAAGTCCCAGATCACCAATCTTCACAGATCCAGTGGGTCCTGTGATAAAAATGTTGTCACATTTCAGATCCCGGTGAATAATAGGAGGGGTCCTTGTGTGCAAGAACTGCAATCCTTTTAAAATTTGTCTGCACCAACTTCTTAAGACCTTTGGCTTCATGACTTTAAATCGTTTTAAGTACCTATTCAAAGAAACAAAGATCATGTGTAAACAAACATTTAAAGATTAGTCTATAAATACCACTGTAAGTATGCTGCTCTGCTTATTTACTTACTATGAATACTACCCCTGAATAATTTTTAAGGTTGATTTATTGTTTTTACTTATGTATTTGTTAATGTGCACACAAGTGTACATGCCTGTGGGGGTCAGAATAAAGCAATGGCCCACCTAGGACCTAAAGTTAGACAATTTTGAGTTGCCCAATGTGGAGACCAGGACCTAAACTCTGACCTCTGGAAGAGCAGCAGGTACTCTGCACCAATAAGCCATGTCTCCAGCCCCTGAATTATCTTCTATTGTTTGCTGTAGCAAAAAAAACAAACAACAACAAAACACCTCATTTAAACTTTTGTTCTCATCTTCCAGTGACCTACAGTCACTTTACAGGTCACTTAAGTTTACCATCCCACCTCACATTACATTTTTTAAAAATGGTATGATTTATGCCAAAAGATATTCTACAAAGTCTAGTACTTTTAATTCAAAATAAGAACCATACTAGAATGAGGTTGTGGGATGAAAGCACCATTGTAAAAAGAAAGCCCTTCTCTATATGTAAATAATTACTTATACATTCACTGGAGGGCATGGCTACATAAAATTTTACTGTAAAATGTTAAGAAAAATGGCTGGACAGTGGTGGTACATGCCTTTAATCCCAGCACTTGGATCTCTGTGAGTTCGAGGTCAGCCTGGTCAACAAGAGCTAGTTCCAGGACAGGATCCAAAGTCACAGAGAAACCCTGCCTCAAAAAAACCAAAAAAAAAAAAGTATACTTCACATTTAATAATAATCAAATTGTAACTTTAAATAATAAAGTTGCAAATATACAACTGATTATATAAACAATTCATACCAAATGAAAAGTTGGTTACAAACAAAAAAACAGTAGTATTCCTTGCAAGATGTATGAATTGGGCCAAACCCTTAGCAAGTCATTATCTTTTAAAATGCAATCATAATTTATAGTAATTTTAACTCAAATTTTATGATATATCTAAAACATTAACTTTTGTGGGTTTTTTTAAGATTTATTTAATTTATGTGTATGAGGGCTTGCCTGCATGCATGTATGTTTTCTTTTTTTTTAATTTATTTATTTATTATCAATTTCCACCTCCTCCCCACCTCCCTTTTTCCTTCCCCTCCCCACCTCCCCCTCCCTCTCTAGTCCTAAGAGCAGTCAGGGTTCCCTGCCCCGTGGGAAGTCCAAGGCCCTCCCGCCTCCATTCAGGTCTATAAACGTGAGTATCCAAACAAACCAGGCTCCCACAAAGTCAGTCCACTGCATGTATGCTTTCTAAGTGCGTACCAGGCACTCACTGATGTCAGAAGAGGTCATTAGATTCCCTAGTTTAAGCCATCACACTGATGCTAGGCGGCTCTGCAAGAGCAACAAGAGCTCTTAACTTATGAGACATCTCTCTACCCCCCTTTTTGGGTTTTTGAGGCATGGTCTCATGTAGCTCAAGCTGGTCATGAATTCATCATGTAGCCAGGAATAACCATCAACTCCTGATCCTCCTATCTCTACCACACTACGCAGTGCTAAGATTAAAGGTGGTGCCACTGTTCCTAGTTTTATGTGGTGGAGGGGATTGAATCTATGGTTTAATGCACACTAGGCAAGCACTTAATCAATTGAACTTTATCTCCAGGTCCCCAAACATTAACTTTTCAGCACTGCATAGTCTAACAAACTTCATTAATATCTTGATTTTTCAATCAATCTGAAATAGATTCTACAAGTTCTTTTTTATTGTTATAGTTACTAGGGATGGAACCAAGTCTTGTACATACTAAGTAAATGCTATTTCACTGAGTTATAGCCCCACCCCCTCTACAAACTCTTAAGTTAGAAAGCTTATAAATAATTTTTATGACTTCTTAAAATGATTTCCATCTCAACAGGTACTATCAGAGTCAACTTACGTCTTTAAAGTTCCTGATGTCATTAGTTCAGTCACTAACACAATACATTTCTTTCCTTTTAATATAGACTCCCAGGAATCATAAAATCGAACTATATTGGGATGCTGGAGGCCTTTCAACATCTCTGCTTCTTCTTTGAACCGTTGCTGCTCAGCTTTAGTTAATTTGCGGTCCTAAAGAGGAAGAACAAGTTCCAAATTAATAACACAGAAATTTCCATGCACATTTTTCTTTTTCTTTTTTTCGTTTTTGTTTTTTTTTGTTTTGTTTTGTTTTTTTGGGGTTTTTTTTGTTTTGTTTTTCGGGACAGGGTTTCTCTGTAGCCAGCCTAGTCTACAGAGCAAGTTCCAGGACAGTTGGCCATTACGCAGAGAAACCCTGTCTCAAAAAAACAAACAAAACAACAACAACAACAAAAAAGGCCGAACTCTTACTGGAGCCAAAAACCTGTGACTAAACAGTTCACAGATTCTAGAAGAGAACATGCAAAATGAATGTAATATGAAATCAGCTTCTAGTGACTGTTATACCCATAGATTAGTATATCTCTCAATCGTCATCAAAGAATTTCTTTTACCAGTAAATGGTGATTAACACAGACACCAACAACTGATCAACATGTAGACAAGAGATTACAAAATGTTAAATCCCAAATGGGACATCTATATCACACCCTGCTCCTCTTAAAGATCAGGGATCAAAACCAGGTGATGGTGGCCCATGCCTTTAATCCCAGCACTCAGGAGGCAGAGACAGGCGAATCTCTGTGAGTTTGAGGCCAGCCTGGTCTACAGAGGGAGTAGACCAGGACAGACTCTGAGCTACAGAGAAACCCTGTCTCAAAAACCAGAAAAAAAATCAAAAGAAAGCAAGCAAGCAAGTAAGCAAGCAAGCAAGCTCAGGGATCATTGCAGAAGATGGCCAGAAAGATTGTAAGACGTTGAGGATGACTACAACAAAAGAGTGTTTCTAGGATAACAGGAAAGCTGCATATATGAACTCACAGCAGCTGTGACAGCATGCACAACAGTATAAACTGTATAAACTGAAGTCAGACACAGTGAGTATTCTTAGCTATCATAGTAGGTACATTGAAGACATCAGATTATGGCTTTAATATTAATTAATAATCAACAACCCAATTAAAATAAAGATTTGAAGAGAGATTTGGGGGATATAACTCAGGTATTATAGAAAAAATGAAATGGGGCCCTTGGTGTGATTCCCAGCATTGACAAAAAGTACTGAACATGTTTCACCAAGTAACTTATACATATGGGTCAACTTGGTTGGTTGGTTTTGTTTGTTTTGGTGGACAGATTCTCATTACATGGGCCAGGCTGGCCTGGAACTCACAAAAATCTGCCTGTCTCAACCTATGAGTACTGGGATTAAAGGTATTCACTACAGTATCTGGAAACATCCTATGACATCACCCCGAGGCTTATCACCGTTGAAAAGAGGTATACTGTTTGTTTGATTGTTTGTAATAAGACAAGGTCTCATGTAGCCAGGATGACACTGAACAACTGAGCCTCCTGCCTCCATGCTAAGATTACAAGTATGTACCACCATCTGTGCTTTGTTTTTCTCTTGCCCAAGTTGGCCTCAAATTCATGATCCTACTACCTCAATCTTTCAAGTAGCTAAGATTATAGTCTATGCACCAATGTATCACAAATTTATTTTTAAATAGATACCTACTTTGTTAAGGTCTCCTAATGCAAATTTACTTAAAGATATTTTTGTGTTTTTTTGCAAATAACAATCTTCATTTTTAACTATGTTTAATTTGTGTGTACGCGTGTCACAGTGTATGCAGAGGTCAGAAAGTTTACTATTCTAATATTACATTAGACATTTTTTAATCTATATTTGTGGGCAGTGTTAAAATTCTTTTTATATATATTTACTTATGATTGACTGTATGTGTGAGGGATGCCATAGAATTCATGCCATAGAGATCAGAGGACAATCCTTTGGAGTCTGATCTTTCCATCTACTATATGAGTCCTGGGGAATCAAACTCAGGTCATCAGGCTTGGCAACATGTGCCTTTACCCCTTGAATCATCTCTCCAGTACCAATAGTTTTCTCATAAAATCTTAATCTGCTTTTAGCATCACAAGCTCTGATGTGCTTTTTGCTCTGCTGTCTTGAGGCAAATAATGCTCTGGAAAACTCAGTATAGGGAAGGATTATGCCTCTAGACATTCTATGTAACAGAAGGATCAGAGACTCAAATTTCTCAGGAAGATATTTTATTTTCAGCAGGAAATGGTAAGTCAATCTTTTTCTTATATTTGTATTGCTCTATTTTCTAACCTTATTGATTTTGCTAAAATAGCAGCAATATTGAGAAAAGGTGTAAATAGTTATGACTATCTTTCACTAGATATTCATTAAAAACAGCTTTATCATTTTAGAGCTTAAAAATTATTTTGTTTTAAAGAAATTGTTTAAAATTCAATGATTTCCATACACACACATTAGTTTTGCTTTTTAATTAAGAGTACCTAATATCTTCTCAGTACCTACTCATACAATATGTTTTATTGGTAAATTTCCTAGTATGGAATTATTCTTAAATTCCTTTTTTCTTCTGTTCTTCTATTGTTGGAGATATTAAACCTAGGGCCTCACACATGCTTAGCTAATATACTCACTAAGCTATACGCCCCATCTTGTTTTAAAATTTCTAAAACTTGCAGTAAAAAACTATGATTCACTGGTGAATTCTATCTGTTAAAATTTTACTAAAGAATTTACAACTTTATTCATATATGATATTAAGTTACATTTTTCTGTGTCTTGTACAATATAAGGATTTAGTATTATGAGTACATGGGAGCTGGAGAGATGACTCAGTGGTTAAGAGCACTGTCTGCTCTTCCAAAGGTCCTGAGTTCAATTCCCAGCAACCACATGGTGGCTCACAACCATCTGTAATTAGGTCTGGTGCCCTCTTCTGGCCTGCAGGCAGAGTACTGAAAATACTGTATACATAATAAATAAATAAATCTTTAAAAAGGGGGGGAGGCAGACTAAGGATTTAACTGCTGTTCAGAGACTAAAACTGGTATTTAATAACAGCAATGTCATTGTACTCTTACTGAAATCGACCTAATGATATTTGTAACTTCTTATAGATGTTGAAAAAAGTTATAAAAAAAAGAGTACATGGGATTCTAAAATTATAATCATTATTTGTTTTTTTGAGACAGAGTCTTTCTATGCAGTTCAACTTGGATTGAAACTCATAATCCCCCTACCTCTGCTTCCCAAGTGTTGCCATTATGTGGTATGTGCCACCTACCACCACATCCGGCTCAGGCTTCATGAATGGGATATACCAGTTTAATACCAAAATTTCTTGTCATCTGAATTTTACTATGAATTAAAGCTTTGAAGTTATAAGCCCCTGGTATAATGTTTGAGTTTTGTTTTTCCTTTTTTAAACTATTACAAGAGTGGAGACAATGAGAAAGATTCGTGATTTTGTATTCAAAGGATAGGAGTAGTGAAGGCTTTCTATGTACAGTATGGTAAATACAGAAAATAATAATATATTGTACATATTAAATTTGATGTAAGTAAATTTCAAATATTATCATCACTACAAATATTTGAAGATATGTTTGACTTCATTTAATTATTGTGTACTATTTTTTAATTATTGCATATTACACTGGCCAACCATAAGATCACTTTGTACTCTATAAATATATGACTGCAATTTATCATTTTATAATTTAAAAGAACAAAAACTAAACTTAGGAAACTAATGTACTGCCAGGCATGATGGCTCACTTCTGTAATACAAGCACATGGGAGAGTGAGGTGTGAAAATTACAAGTTCAAGGACATCCTCAACTACAATAATGAGTCACAGGAAAGCCTGAGATACAGTGAGATCATTTTTAAAACAAACAAATGAATACAGTACTTATAATCATCTTTGTTGAACCTTAACATCTTACTATATTTCCTTCTACTTCCTAAATGATTGAAATTTCATATAGTTGAAGATTCTTATTATTCTTCCTTTATCCTACCACTTTCTTCCTTTTCCCAGAAATAAGCATTATCTCAGTTCATGAAGGTTTTTAAATATTTAAAAATTGCATGGATTCATAATGCTTTGCTGTTGGAATTGAGCCCAAGACTAAGAGACATTCTCTACCACTGAATCTTCAACAACAGCTTATCAATGTTAACATTTCAAAAACTTTTCTTGTTGCTGTTATTGACATTATTTCAGGCAGGATCCTACTATATAGTACAGGCTAGCCTCAAACTCATGATTCTCTTGCCTCAGCCTCCTGAGTGTCACTGAAACATAAGTTATGGGCTTTTAATTTATTTTTATAAACTATTAAGTATAATTTCACAATATGTCCAATATTTTAATCTTAATTTCCTTTCTTTAGCCAACATTTCTACTCTTACTTCTCTTTGCTTGTTTCTTTCTTAATTTTTTGTATCACTGTTTTAAGTTTTGAATAAGCAATAAATGTGGGTTTTATCTTTTAACACCCTCTAACAGTACTGAATCGATCTCTCTCTCTGTCTCTCTCTCTGTCTCTCTGCCTCTGTGTGTGTGTGTGTGTGTGTGTGTGTGTTTTATTCTGTTTTGTTTTTGAGATTTGGTCTCATTATGTAGCCCTGGATGGTCTCAAACTCACATAGACCCACCTGCCCCTGTATCCAAGTACAGGGATTAATGACATAAGAGACTATGCCCAGTTGAATATGGAAATATATAAATAGCAGTCCACATTTGATAAGGTAAATAATGTACTTAATTTTATTTCTTTTATTTTATGACCTCTATATTTTTATTTAGGTTTTTTCATCCTATCAATAAATGGGAACATACTGTATTTTTTACGCTTTACTTTCTTGACACCCAAAAATCAAACATATTTCTCTTTAAGTAAGATATATGGTTGAAGAGGTGGCTCAGCGGATGCTTTTCCAGAGGACTTGGGTCCAATTCCCAGCATTTACAAGGCAGCAAACAACCATCTGTAACTTCAGTTCCAGTCCATCTAACACCCTCTTCTGGTTTCCATGGACACCAAGCACACATGTGCACAGACATACATGCAGGCAAAACACCCATATACATAAAATGAAAATAAATATATCTTTTAAAAGAAACAAAAAGAGG